ACTCTTTCCACTCTCACTCCTTGTGCTGCTGCTTCTTTTTCTTCTTCTTTGCTGCCTTGCTGTCTTTTGACGCGTGCCTTGCCCACTTGCCTGTATCACTCTCAGAGTCCGAGCTGTCAGAGTCAGATGACTTCCTGTCTCTATGTTTCTTTTTCTCCTTTTCCTTCTTTCTTTTTCTAGAAGAATTTCTCGTGGGGTCAGGCTTTTCAAACTCTGCTGACTTTGCCTCTTCCTTCTCCTCTTTCTCATTAGGTAGCAGAGAGTACTTGGTCCCACCTGGCTGCATGAAACAATGCTTTGCAAAGTGGCCTTTACAGCCACACTTCTTGCAGGTTGTGTTCAGGACACCCTCGAGGGTGATCTTCTGCCCAGTGTAATCCTGGAAGGACCGCCTCTGCCTCTCTTATTGCTCAGGGATAACGTTGTTGGCATCAAGGTCCTTCCCAGTCCCTAGGTTGACAGCCTTCATGGAGAGGGATACCTTTATCCTTTCCCTTTTCATCTCTCGTCCAAAAAGCTTCACCCACACTTTGTCTCCGACATCTACTGTCTCAGAGGGCTTATCCACGCGACAGGATGACATGTGAGTTCGATGGACCGGACCTTGCTTCCGACAGCCTGGGATGTTGATAAAGGCTCCACAGTCTGTCACCATAGCAACCTCTCCTTGGAAAATAGTGTAGAGAGCAGGCAAGTTCTCCATGGTCTCGGGTCTTCCCGAATTCATCCTTAATGTTCTATGGTTCCTCCATTTCTCTTCTGCTAAAGCTAATTCAAGTGTCTCGGTGTCAGCGTCCGGTCTCCACGCCGCAGCCAGTCCTTGTTCTTAAGGAGTTAACATTTTGGTAGGAAGAGCACACTCAGTCCATGAAATACAGAGATTATGATACTAGGAGTAATAAGTACCAAATGCAACGGGATGCCTAGGAGAAAGGCTTTGACATCTATCTGGGGATCAAGGAAAGCTTTATAAGAAGGCAGCGTTTCGCAGGAGACCCGTAAGTTGAATAAGAGGGGTAAGGGTTTGCTCTGTAGAAATGCAACATTGGAACAAACAGTAGGTGCCAAGGCAAATGAATTTGAGAGAACGGCCTTGTTTGGGGGAAATTACAAGGCTAGAAGGAAGGAAAGAGCAGGAGGCGAAGCCACGCAGAACTCAGGGCCATATCCTGGAGGGCTTTCTCGGCAGGCTTTGCAAAGCAGGCTGGATTTTATTCAGCAGGTGATGGCTAGTCATTAAGGAACCTTGAGTAAGAGAGGAACATGATCAGATGACTGGAAACACATTTCCAAGGGAATTGAGGGAGGGTGCAAGCCAAAGATGCAGAGATCAGAAGAGACACTGGGCTAGGTATGATGCTGATTC